AAAGGAAAGAGTACAAAAGTACAAAAATTCTTACCCCAAATATTGCTTGGATGTAGCTGTTCTAAGCAGCAGTGGAAGTCTTTATTATAAACTATATTCTCTGGGTTTGTTGCAAATTTACAGATTTATGACATTATAACAGTTGAATAATTTGCCCCATTTCATGTTACACTTCCATCAGCTGGGACACTTCAGCACAGCAGCATCTCCTCACACTATTATACTTTGGTATTTTCAATTAGGGTAGTGATTCAAGTTCATATATTCCTTCTACATAGAAACTAGTCTGTGGGGACTTGTCTTGAGGCTATTATTCAGACTGAGCACCCAAAAGCTTGACCTGGTACCCATTACAGAGGAGGGTTAGGAGCAGAACAGCTGTAGCTGGGCTTCCTGGAACAACTGGATTTCGCCAGCACACTTACATAACCTTAACCTTGCATCCTCTAATGGCAGGCATCTTCAAGAGCTGAAGTAACAGCAATGATCTCCCCTAGGGGCTTAAGCAGGTCACGAATTTCCTGCTGCAATGAGAAATAGGCAGTCTGAAGTGACAGACCTTGTCCGAGCATACTCTAATAAGAACTGCTTCTGAGAGGAGAGGTTGAAGTGCAGCAGCAAGGTGCTGTGGGGAATTGGTAGTGAACAATGAAAAATACTTGGAAGGGCAAATACTCTTATATCTTTTTCAGCACTGCGAAAAGGAGCTGTTGAGACAAGGAGAGCTGCTCAGCCCAGCAACATTCCCCCCAGCTCCGCTTTCTGTCTGAAAGCTTTGAGAAGTTTATGGAAGAGCATCTAGCAGTATCTAACAGGGAATTAGGCAGGGATGCTCACAGAAAAAGGATCAGGAGATGGGCCTTCATAATTGAAACAGAAAGATAAGGAAATATATACACAACAGAAGAGTGGCAGAAAGGGAGCTCTGAGAATAGGCTTATGAGCCAGAGGCTCAAATTTGATTTCTCACATCTTGTTCTGTGGTTAAGTCACATCACTCATCTGTCCGATTTTTCTTATCTGTATAATGGGGGACATATTACAGATCTCTGTTAAAGAGGAGGTCTGAGAATTAATAGACGCTGATAGAGTGCTTGGAAGATTGGTATTACCACAGCAAACAGTAACTCCTTTGACTCATTTATGGTCTTATTACCACCAAATGCCTCTTTGGCTTCCTGTCATTTTAACTAAGCCTCCTTCTGATCCTATTAAACACCAAGGGGAAGTTCCTCAGCTAGTGTCAGTTGTCACAGCCCCATTGACTTCAATTATTTCTCTTGCACAACATATTTCATCCGAAGCACTTCAAGAATTTGAGAGATATTGGCCAATTAAGCATCACAACCTCTACGGGAGGTACAGAGTCATACCACAGTTAGAGAAACTTAGAAAGGAAAGGTTAATCAACTTACCCAAGGTCAGGAAGAAAGCTTAGCAGAGATAAGAAAAATGGACAAGAGTTGTGCTCATAATTCTGGGCATTGCCTTGGCCAGGTTTTGCTCCTTGTATCACAGTGGATCTGAAGCCAGTGTTCCAAGCTCTGCCTTTTTCAGATTCTTACTGGTATGAGACACAGCAGAGACTCGCTTCCTTTTCACACTGTCATGCCCTTTCAGTTTTTATAATTCTCATTTTATTAGAGGTATCGTAGGAAAAGAATTATGGAGACTACATATATAAAGGCTGATTCCTCAGCTAGTATAAATTAGAAAGATTTCCCAAAGGCAATGGGAATACGAGCACATATACCTGAGGATCTGGTCCCAAGGGCTTATTTCTGACAGAGTATGGCTATAAGATACCTAGGGATTTTCAGCCTCCAGGCACTTAGGCAGAGGCTTTCTGAAGCTGTGGGAGGCTAAACTGCCTACTGGTGATTGCTTTTTCAGTATATTGCAAGCCAGGACTTTATCAGCATATGTGCAAATGATTCTCAGTAAGCTCTTTTGTGCCCTTATGCCTGCTAAAAGTCCAAAATGGCTGCATCAAATGGCAGTATTTAGAATAGCTCCAAGTGGAAATACTTCAAATATCCACAGTAACTCTGCTGTTTCTGAGATGGGAATTATGTGGGGGGTTTTTTTCCCAATGTAAGGAGTGTTTGTGCAACTTCAGCATTTTTTTTCTGCAAATTTATATCCTCTTTCAGAGAAACCAGTGAATGCTGTGATAGTAGAGTTTAAAGTATACATAGCCAGCAGACAGACATGAGGAGAGGCAAGGAATAACTCCACAAGTGCAGTTCTTAATTATATTTATAGATTTAAGTCCCAAATCAACTCGTTGTTTGGTTTTTTTAAAAAGCAAAACCAACCAAAGCCAGGCGCCCTCACCATGTGAAATCTGCTGTTTTGATGCAGTGCTCGTAGCACTCAGCTAGGAAATAATAATATGTCATTTGGTTTTTAGTTTTTAAAAACTATAAGCAAGTTGAAGAGGAAAGCCTATCAGAGCTGCAACAAGCTAATTGTATTTATAAGCTTAAGATCTTAATTTCCTGGAGCAGCTTTAAATGCTGATAGTGTGCTGTTTTTGGACACTGAGTTAAGACAGTTTATATCAATATTCCAGCTATTTCTTACTTGGGTAAAGAATAACTGAATGTGCTGTTTGCATACTTGGGAAAATACAACCCTATCTCTATAAAGTCCATGGAAATACTTATATTGAAGTAAATATATATAGATGTGTTTGTACACACATTCAAGTAAGTGCTGGTCAAAGTCAGATCTAAGAACTCATAGGAGCACTGGGGGAAGAGCTGAGGTGTGTTGAAAGGGAAGCAAGGGAGGATAGGGCAGCTCAGAAACTCAAATTGATTACCTGTGTAATTCTCTTTCTGCTCCTCCACACACACGTACTTCACAGCTAGAACTAGTACTTTTTTTAAAAAAACACTGCCTAAAATCCTGAACATTTTTTTTCTTCATCCTTATGCTAAGGTTTAACATTACCTTGGGCCAGACCTTCCTGACCTTGTCACCAAACATATCTTGATATAAAAACACTTGGTCAGGACTCTTACACTTATGAGAAGAGATGAAGCTATGAAAAGGATAAGGCTCCAACATTCAACTCCAGGCTGCAAAAACTACTTTTTCACTTCTCCCACATTGAAAGTATGCTCCCTAGGAAAAGGAAAGGGAAATTCACACACATTAGGTCAGTAGCCACATATGAGCTATGCATTTGGTCTTCAAGAAAACTTATATCAGACATATGCTCCCTCCTGGAAATTTCTATCACCTGTGCTGTCCCATTCCATGTTAGCCAAGGTTTTTTCTGTTGCCATGGGAAACAGAGGTCTTGATTGGGAGGAGAAGGGAAACCAGCAAAGGAGAAATCTGGAACTTGTCCTATATGCTTGATAAATCCAAACAATGTCTTGGAAAATGTTGCCTGACTCTTTGGAGGTGCTGACTGCTTAAGAAGGTAATGGTGTACCATGGATGAGAAAAGTCCCTGTCCTCCAAAAAGTGAGCACAGAGTGGCTTCAGATGTTCCCCATCCCCAGCAAATGTGCAAAAGTGCCAGCATCCCTCTTAAGGGGAATAGAGCTAAGAGCAAATACAGATTAGAAAGTGCCAAAATACTTTATTGTTAGGTGTAAAACCTGTTTCTATTGACAAGTGCGAGCAGTCTTTACTGTTCTCAGTTAACAGGACCCTAGGGACTTCCTCTTCACAGAAGGAATTAAAAAAAAAAAAAAAAAAAAAAAAAAAAAAAACAAAACCAAGAGAAAACATTTATGTACAAGCTAATACTTTTTGCTAGAGCTTGCACAGTTAAGCACAGACCGGCTACAGAACACTGAAAGACCAACTTTACTTTTACATGGCATTTTGGAGTCTAAGAGCATTCCTTTTGCATCATTATCTCAAAGACTTAGAACCACTTGGTCCATCTGAGTCCATAAGGAAGACATTAAATGGATATGTACTGTGTGAGTAGACAGGGTCTTACTATCACAAGCCTGCTGGGGTTCTGTGAACACAAAAATAAGACATTTTGGACTAATGAAAGCCAATGCAACATCACTTCCTCAGCTTCCCCTTGTACAGTCAGCGCCTCAGAGTTAAGTTCTGTATTTATTTATGGAAATTTTGGCATGAGACTTGACAATCTTCCCATGCTTGAGACCATGAGAGTCAAAATCTTTCTAGCATTCCAGCTGTGGACTTGTGTAGAGGTTTGCTTCCAGAAAATAGCATTCCTCCCCTTCTACATTTTGGGAAAGAGAGAAACATCAAGACTTGGGTAGCTTGCAGTGGGCTGCTGCCAGTTGAAGGGGGTGCTCTCTTGAAATTACTGGCCTCCAATACATCTTTGTAAAAATGATAAGGATGCACCCCTAAAAGAATTTCTGTATGATCATAGGCTCTACAGTAATTCGGGGTTTTCTTTTCCTGGCAAGGTCCTGCTAGAAAGGCTATAGATAAGGAAGGAACACTTTTCTTCTAAAACAGTTATTTTCATCCTCAGTATTGCTACTGTGTTTTTACAGGTGTCTATCTACCTATGCTTCAGGGTGTCTTTCTAGGTCCTTGCATAGAGAGCTTACAAGTAATTGTTGCTGTGGCTGGCCTCTCCAAAACCATGGTCTCTTGCATATCCCCAGCCCAGAAGAGAGTATTTAGGACTTCTGCTGATCATGGGTTGTTCTCTGGTGGAAAGGAGTATCCTGTCCATCTTGTTCCTGTTTCAGCTGCTGTTATCAACGTCATACTTGATTATGTATCAAAGCTTCTGAAAATACACACTGTATGCAGAAACAAGAGGATGTGAGGGTCATGCTGCATGACCTGGTGGGGTATACAGAAGAGGCAAGCATTATCTCTAAGGGTAATTCTCAGAAGAAATCTCTCTGTTCAGGTAATATTTTTTTGGTCAGGGAGAAAGAATTCTATTGCAATTGTGTCACCTGGCTGGCTCAGTGTTACTTCTGACATTTATGTAATATACAAATATAGTTCTCACTATCACATCTTCCAGCTCTAAAGAAATGTTAAAATGTGTAAAAGCTATGATGTTACCATCGTTTTTGATGATAGCATTAAACAGTGTATGAAACCATACCCTTTGGTGTACAATTCATACCTCTTAGCCTGAAGGTGCATTTCTTATTAAAATGTCTCAGATCCACATATTGTGAAATGATATCCAATGAATTCTCCTTCTTTATTTATGTATTTAAAAGAAGTTGGTAAGGGATTTGGGGAAACAGATGAATTTACTATCTGGTAATAATGTAACATCATAAAAGTTACAGTGCTTATTATGAGAGTTATTTTCTAAGAGTTTTTTAGGCATTTCATTCAAATTCGTTTTGAAATGAACACTTTTTCAGATGGACTAAAAACTGTCTGAATGTCCCCAGGGCACCATGTTGAGTTGCACATAAGGGGACAGTAGAGTTGGAGGGTGCTTTAGAAAAGATTGGGATGCAAGATTTTTTTTTTTTTTTGCTTCCAGTTAAAATAACCAAGGTTTATAGAACTAAGAGTTTTGATTACCTCAGTTTAAATGATTTGAAACAGTTTTAAAACTGATTGCAGAGGGTGCTAATCACTGTTTTCCTGAAACTCAGTTTCCTGTAAGCATTCTCAGTTTAACACCCAAATATTGAGGTACCTAACACCAAACTACAGTAACAAATCAGTCTGGCTGAACAGCTGCAGTGCTAATGTGGAAAGGGGTTAAATAATAGTCATCTGTTCCACTGTCAAACTGGGAGAGATTGCGAGCCCCAGGGGAAAAAAAACCCCAGACAATAAGACAAATGTTCTGGGTTGGTGGATTTGCCAGAAGAGTTACTTGCAGAGCTTACATTAACAAGTTTATATCTTCTGCCAGTGTAGGACACAGGTAGCCAATTAGCTGTACTGGGAAAAATTACCTTTCTTCTTGGTATAATTTTATCTGTAACTAAGAGATTTTCCTCAGAAAACCTACCTTGTCTACCTTTGCAGAGGTAGGCAAGGGGTGAATAATTCACCCACCCAGAACCATACAGGGTTAATTTATTGTGTGAGCTCTTCCATGCTCAAGTTCCAGCAGTGCCCAAAGAGCTGCCTGCTCAGAGCATCATCATGGATTTGTTCCCTGAGTATTTTTGCCCTGAATGATCTGGCCCTTACCAGGCATGCGTGCAGTACAAAAAGTGGCTCAATTTTTAATATGGGGGTTTTTTTTGGCCATTCTATTTCCTTCTTTTAAAAATCACTTCTTTTTATTTAATTTAAAAGTTTAACAGAATAGGATTTTGGCTTCTAAAGGTCTAGACTTCTAGGATGTAGCTGACAGTCTCCTCATCCCATTATCTGTTCTCTCTTTTTTCTTTTGCTTTCTGTTCTTTTTCGGCACTGAAAATGTAATCAAAGTCACTGAGGCCCCAATGGACCTCAACTTGTTGATTAAAATTGAATAAACTAGACAAATTCTGGTGGGAATGGAAGGCATTTATGATGACTACCTGGCATTTTTCTCTGCCCTTTTTTATGTACTTGTCACTGTATTTTCCCACATCAATCTCATAAAACATTCTTTTGCTCATGCTTGAAATATTGATATTATCCTACAGCAAAGATAAAAGCACATCACAGAGCAATATGGCTTGGTGATAGAATTATCTGTAATACACAGAAATCTCTACTGATGTTTAGGGCTGGCATGGTATTAAACACATTACTTTTGCTGACAGGCATTTTCATTTCCTTGCATCATGCAGGTAGGGGAATTTGAAGGAAATCTAGTTTTCAGTTCTGGATTTGTTCAATAAAAAATGTAAAACAGAAATGCCAGTGGATATCATAGCATCTCTTTAAATCAAAAGGAACTCACTGAAAGTCTAAGTTTCAGAGAAGGCTATGTGTTTTTATGTGTTTATTATATGTTTGTATGGCTGTATTTACAAATCTATCTGTGTAAATATTTATATAAACAACAGAGCTGTTTCACGTATACCAAATCTGAAAGGGCTGGGGACAATCCAAAATCAAGTAGTTAAAAATTAGTGTCAATGAACCTTGTGCTTATTTGGTCTTCATAATGTGATTTTTTGTAACATCTTTACTCATTATTTCTCCTGTATGAATATTTGTGTTCCAGTTCCTAACTTGAGATCCTCTAGCTGGGATGGAAACAATATTGAGCCCTGAAAAGAGGAGTTAAGTCAGCACTTCAAAAGTGTAAGGTGCCATGAGGTGCTAAGCGCTCTGTGTAATCAGAATCTGCAATCTGAAATTACACATTCAGTACTAGTGGACATTTTGACTTAATTTCCCTATTCCTGAACTCAGCATTTGTAAAATGAGCCTATCACCTGAGAAAGGTGTTGTCCAAAATAATTAGCTTTTGCAGAACAGTCCAGTGCTATGCTGAGTGGCACCACAGAAAAGCCCCTGTGGAAATAAATTACTCTTCAGAGCAGGATTGCTATAGCATGCAGGAGAAGTAGCCACAAACGGAGGAATGAAGATAAAACATAGGATCAAGTAACAGCACCTTCAACAGTATTATTCTTCCTGTGCATGAGAGAAAGCTCACATCAAAAAACAGCAGCGTGTGATTCTGTAATTAGAGGACTTCATAGAAACATACACACATGAAACCCAGGGACTGCTTTTATGCTCTATTTGTCAAAAAAATCAACAATATTAAAAATTAAATTTATTTCTGTTGGTAGGACGGGAGAGAATCTGATCTAGTGGCTGGGGCAGAGATGACCCCCACCCTGTCAATGGTCTATTTTGTCACTGCCTCGGTCTGTTAAGTTGGAGGTAATTAATGCTTCTTTTCTATGTACATTCTGAAAGTAAATTCCTTTGGAATAGTTTGATACTATACATTGTCCAAATAAAAATATTCCTTTGTAGTGCACAATATTTGTGTAGTTGCAGATTTTGGAATAGGATTTTGTATGTTTTCAGGGTTATGCATTTGCTGTAGAATAAAACTGAGTGTTCTGCTGTTGTACTGAATAGGCCCAGAGCTGATCAGAGCATGCTGAGGTTTTTGTACACCTCTTGCTTTAGGGAGAATGCATCTTCTGCAGTCTAGAAGTTAGTAGCTTTGGAGCACAAGAATGAAGTCTCTTCTCCTGCTACACAGCTGGGTATTTTGCATGAATCTGACATAAATTATTAACAAGCAAACCCTAATTTTTCTGTAACTGATGAGGGAGGGATTTACCAAACTTTTGAAAACTGAGCTGAATATAACCAAATATTTGTTTATGCCAGTATTTGTGTCTGCAATGGAGTTTGTTAATAGGCCAAATTAGTGAGCATACAGAAAATGAGATATCACTGCTACCACCTAATCAGACAGTTTTGCCAAGAAAAGTATAATTTTACCTGAATATCTGGCACAACTGACACAAAATTTGTGCTGATCCCTAACCTTTGCTTGCAGTAGGCCTTCTCATTGTTAGCAGGATGGAAACTGCATTTAGTATGTGACTTACTGTAAATGCATACTCCTTGCTTGAGGATATAGTGGAGGTGAATTATATGTGGGCTGCTGGGTTCACACTGGCTTGGGGTTCTTTTGTAGCTCGTTTTGTAGGGGAACTGCTGAGGTCAGACTACAGAGGGTTTTTGTAATTTAGTCTTACCTGCCGGATATGACCTCGACTTTTCTCTCAGGTCTAAGGATTGACAGAAAAAAATCCCAACATCTTCCACTCATCAAGAAGTCAAACATATTTGATCTGGTTAATTCCTAGAGGCTAAGAAAATACATGTAATTTTACAGAGCTCCTTTTAGAGCAGAAGTACCAAAAGAAGGCCTGTTGTCAGCATTTTTGGCTAGACTTGAACCTCCTGCCTTTTGAGATCTGTGGGAGAAACAGTTACTTTTCTCAAGTAGCACTGAACCAATGTAAAGACCTGTCCAAAAAGAACAAGCCAGCTTATCTCCAGCCATCCCCTTGAACGTGCCAGCCATTAAGCCAATATATGAATATCTACATAGAAACACACCCTGTAAGTGAAGGTTGATCTTTTGCAGTGGAATTACATTGCCTTTTACGTTACTCTTGGTCTCTGTAATGTTCAGGTCGCTGCTATTGAGCGTGTTTCTTTGTGTGGCAATTTACGTTGTGTGCAGAGCTCCGGGGCACAGCGTGAGGGATCATAGGGCTGTAAGTTGCGCAAAGCCTCTGTGTACATCCATCATTTTCAAGGCAGCAGGGAAGCTCATTCTTTTTGCCGGCTTTAGCTGTGGGAGCTTGGATGTGCCTCCCCCTTGGAGCTCCTGTTGGACTGCCACACAGGGAATATTCTGCTTTCAGTGCATCCATTCTGCAGCTGGCTGGCAGAGCACCAAGCTTGCAAGAGGGCACAAGAGAAAGCATAACCCTCTTTAAAACTACTCAGGCTCATCAGCAGACTTTGGTATTGCAAAAGAGGAGAGGTGACATAGTTTCATAGTTTGTCCTTATGCAAATAAGATGCCAGCAGCAAGAGTGAAAGGAACTATTTCCTAAAATTGAGACATGCTGCAAGCAGCAAGGTAAAGTGATGCGGTTATGCATCCACTACTCATGTTCCTTGTCCTATTGTAGCCCATGAAACAGGGAGACAAGGAAGAAAAAAACAAAAGGGAAAGAAGCAGGAGAGGGGAGACCAAGGAAGTAAGTAAAATTCCCAGGGAGATGAGTAGCTTTAGGAAAGCTAAGGCAATGCAAGGGAGAGCACTGTTGCCTACCCAAGTTTTACCTAGATGAGAATGCTAGTAACTAGCAGTGGGGCCAAAAAGCTACTCTACTGTAGCTTTTCATTTTCTCACCCCAAAGGCAAATAAATGCATTTTTAAATGATCACAGCAGTTAAACACTGCTCCAGTGAAGTAACATTCTATTACATCTGCCTAGAAAACACCTGGGTTTGCCTCTGCAGAACAAGAGATTTTGAAATGTTCACTGATCAAGAATCCTGGTTGGTTTTTAAATGTTAAATACTTTTTTATTGCTAGTGCATAATTTAATTTGAGGCCACTTGTGGTTGATGTGTATCTAAAAATCTGATCTCCTGCAGGCACATAGTGTCATTGCATCTGCTCATTTAAGTTTTCTGAAAAGACATTTTCTATCTACTACAGATTAAAGCAGCCCCGCAACCCCCACTGTTCCTCTCTCCTTACCCAAATACAAAAGAAAAAGGCAAATAAAAGAAACACTATTATATTTAAAAAAAAAAAATAAAAAAAAAAAAAGCACTCTTGTTGCATGTAAGGGGCCAGCTCTGAGATTTAGACCTCAGAGGATGATAGTTTTACTAGTCTGAGCTTCTGGATTGGAATGGCCCACATTCCTGCTTGGGAAAAGGCAAGACTGTGGCTGATCGTGAAAAAGGAGAATTACTTCTGTGAGATTTCATTTTTTCAGTATAGAAGGTCTCTCTTGAGTTGGGTTTTGGAAGGAGGCTGAGAATGGGTCAGGTTGCAGTAGAATCACATGCATGGGTAGCTTGCAGGAGGTTCCTTTGCAGTGTGTCCAAGGTTCCCCTTCTGTGATGTCAGGTCTCTTAAATTCGGTATCTGACTCTGCTCTTATGGGTTGAGTTATAGCAGTCCTGTAGATTATATGCAATTTCTGTGTTCTTGTAAATTGTATGATAACTTGAAGAGTAAGTTGTTTTTTATTAAATGCCATACCATTTTGGGACCACACGTCTCACTTGACAGTGGTGCAGGACAATGTAATGCATTAACACAGTTCTGCTCCTACTGCTGCATAGTAACATCATCTTGCAGCATGTTTTGTTGAACAGGCTACACAATGTGATAATTTCTTTGAGCCCTATACTTGGCTGCAGAATCAAATGGGATGCTTCTCCTGACATCTTTCTGGTACGACCAGAAATACAATCTATAGTCCAGAGCTTTTTAAGTGAGAACACCAAGGAATGAGCCAGACTGAGGAGATAGGACTGACCTTTGAGATGATGAAATAGCTATGGTTGGTTGTGCCAAAAGGGAAGTAGCTGATTCATTGAGGCCACTAAGCACAGCTGGAATCTGCAGTTCTTCCTAATTCTCCTGTTTGTAGACTAGCCAGTGCTGTCTGCCCTCACCTGTTACCACACAGGTCCGTAGTGATTGACCATACCACCCATCTTTCTCAGCATGCCATTTCTACCAGTCATATCTACATGAGCACTAGTGTCGAAGCTTGAGCTGTTACCACTCACCCCTTTTAAATGAAGTTGTCATAGCTGCCCTGTCTGTGGCAGGTCTAGCATTTTGCCTCAGCACTGCCTTTTCCATGGTGGTGCTGCAGTTGCTGAGGTCAGAGCTCTTGAGGAATAGTCACTGTCTTTAGGTTCATGCTAGTAGAAAAGAGCCAAAGCAATTAATATGCTTCAGATGCATTAAAAAAAATAAAAGTGAGGGAGCATTTATGTTCTGTCGCAGAAGGCCCCGTAGGTCTACTAATGCCCTGGTTGAAAGAGTTTTCATCCTTGTATTTACCCTTCTTCCTGGCTTCTATAGACAAAGCCATACCATGCACTATTGTGTGTGATGCTCCAGGAGAACACTATGAGCTCTGCTGTGGGTCCTTACATTTGGCTGACCCCAGAAATGGTGAAAGGCAGTGGTCTTAGAGAGTGTGCACCTTTTTTAATAAAAAAAACCCAAAGCAAATAACAACAACAACAACAACAAAAGCCACCAACCCCCCCCCAAAAAACCACCACCAAACCAGAAAAATAAAAAAAGAGCAATCTATTTTAGATATGGGAGAGAAAAACATTTGGAAAGCTTTTCACTTAACAAGGCTCTTCTGTGACATTTAGACGCATTTATACAAGTTAAAAATGAATTTGGCACCTTCCCACCTGACTCTTCAGGCTTAGAAGAGAAAAAGCAACTAAAAAGACAAGATTACTTGATATGTTGCTTTGTTTTGTTCACATGAAGTGTTGTGCCCGTTGATGCTGGCTGAGTACTATTGCAGCCCACAAAGGGCCTTGACAGTGGAGTCATATTCAGTCACATCCAGGGCTTGCTTTCTAATGAGGAAAGATAATTATCGTGCCAATCTCTGATTGCCTTTTACAAGGCACATTTAATCTGAGGGAAGATAGGAGCATCTTTTGTCTCTTACAGACTTGAGAGCAGGGCCAGCAGGTGTAACAGGGTAATCACTCTGAAGGATTTGTTCATTATTTCCCAGAAAGAGGGGAAAAGTCTTCATGTCACTGTCTCTTCTGTCTTCCCTGCTCTTGAGTTCAAATTGTGCAGTTTGATCGTGGTGGCCCCACTTCTCCAAGCACCTTTATATCCTATCAAAAGCTCACTTGACAAGCACTTATTACTGGTTAGACAGCCAAGTAGTCTCCCTCCATTCCCTGCCCCTTTCTCTTTAGAAGAGAAAATTTGCACTGTGCTTTGATGGGAACCTGACGATGTGCCGTGTGCTCTGAGGCACGTACTCCCTTGGCTGTAGAGCAGTGTGGCCATGATTGTATGCCTGCATACATTTTTGTACATTATAAATGACCTCCACAAATGTGCATACTACCTATCTGGGTTCATATGCATGAATGTGTGTGTGTCTTTTCTTTGAAACACTCAAATGCCCATTCCAGGGGAGTATAGAGATGAGCTTTTGCTCTGGGAGATGTTGTCATTTACGTACTTGAGTGCACACATGTCTACAAATGTAAGGCTTCTGATTATATGGGAACTCTAAGACTACAGGGCCAGCTGTAATTTCAAGAATTGTCTTGAGAATTCACTTGCTGGCTTAGCTATGAGCATGGAAAACTCTTTGAAGGAAATGGAAGGGTACAAACCTCACAAGCCTTCAGTTATATGATATCTGCAGTTTATAACTGCATTGGTTTATATATAGTTCAAGATCTTATTCTTGTATAATACTAGGTCAAGACCAGTATATCTTGACACCATAGTCCACTGAATAGCAATTTTTCTTGGATTGTAGCAAGGTCCAGCAATGCGGAAGGAAAGCACTCTGACCTCTTTTGATTCATTCACAGTATCCCTGGCAACACAAATTTCTCTAAACACAGGATGAGAGACTAAAATCACACTTTTGGTTCGGAGGGGAGAAAACTGTGAGTAAATCTTATTGATCCATATCCCAGTGTCCAGCTGCTGAAACAACTGTTAAAACAGGTGTGTCTAATTTTAGCTTTTGAAACAGCTGGGCAAAGTGTTGGCCGTGTTTCAGTAACTTTTGCTTAAAGAGAAGGCAGGTGGCATTCTCTGAACATGCTGCTATTGATTTAGAAAGACCTATTAATATCAGTGAGTCAACTTAACTTAATTCTCTCAACCTGCTAACAAGAGCATTTTGGAAAGGACTGGAGAAGAATGACAGGGTACCTTGAATAAACCAAAAGGGAAAGAGATTGCAGTGTGTGTGTTCTAGCAACAGCAATTTAATCAGTTTAGATGCATCTGTGCTACCTGTCACTTTGCTGGCTGTTTGTATTTCTTTTGTCTGGGTGACCTGAGGCATATATGTCCTAGATGTATTTTTTTGAATGAAGGCATACTCCACTGAAGTAAAGATTACACATGAACATGAATAGAGTGGCATGTGTGTGAGAGAGAATGTTAAAAAAGCCAACAACAAACCTGCTCTGAGTGTTTTGTGGTTTTTGTTGCAAAATTAAGCATTCAAAATTGAGGCATGCTGGAAAACCATGTAACATCTTCCACTTTCTGCATTCTTTCAAGTCTTTAATTATAGGATCAGGATCATTTTATTGTGGACTCCCTGTTAGTAAGACAGAAACAATCATAAAGTGAAACACATCTATATAGCTAGAAAATTCTGTAGTTTGGGAAACCCCTATTTTAGTTGATATAAAAATTGTCTGTTGAATAATGAAGAGGGAGGCAGGGAGTTAGTAATTAAAGAACTCAAATGCTCTGAGTTGTATTCCTAGCTCTGAAGTATGTTCTAGAGTGATACATTTTTCATAAAAAACATTATGTTATAGAAGTGAGTGCAGAAATAATTGATTGTTATCAGTGTATATTTTATATTGATTTCTTTGTGTCCCCGAGAACAATGGCTTTGAAAGCTGATTGCTATGTGTAGTGGACTGTGAATGCCTCTCAGAAAAAAAAAAAAATGGAAAGAAGAAGAGGGGGTAGAGAGAAGATATTTTTAAAAAGAGGCATGCTGTCATGTTCTTTAGCAGCATCTGATTGTGCTAAGGAGGGTATAAGTAGTATCTATCTCCTCCAGATGTCAGCTATTTAGAGAGACACACGCCAGAAGTTCTGTGGACAACAAATGACTGAATCCCACACAGGATGCTCTTCTTGGCAAGAGAAGAGATGGGAGTGAGTGGGTGAGCCTGTGTGTGTTACTGTGCAGGATGGGGTGGGGTGGGCAATTACAAAAATGGGAGATAAGGAGAAAAATGAAGATGGATAAAGGTAAAAATACCTGCTAAATGCCACTGTCCTACTTGGATGGTGTGGGATTGTTGCCTGGTTGTCTCAGTGCTTTGTCTAGTCTGATTTTAACCCTATAAAGTATTTCACCATGATTTATGTAACCTAAGCTATGAAAAACTCTGTATGAAGATCTGGATATGTATTATTTTCAGTCTGTAACTAGCCACCTAAGAAAACCCAGTAAGGAGAGTGATTTGTTGCAACACATCTTGCTGGGGAAAAAAATCCAACCCAAACCAAAATTATTAGATCATCCTCTGTTGAAAGCAAGAAGCTTTTCATAGTTTTATTTCTTTAGATGAAAATTTTGTTAATAAGTTCTTTAAAGCTCAGTAGTATTTCTGGGGATGGGTCAAAGAGTTTCATCATGGCTAGGCTTCGCAAATGGAGATTTTAGAAGGGCTCTACCCACGCTTGCTACAAGCACACTGATGGTTAAAAAGGCCAATGCGAGATAGACAAGTCTGGTTGCAGAAGGCACAGCAGAAAGACTCCCCAGGTGATATCAATGAGACGCGATTCTTTCTGCGTTGTCTTTTCTCCTCAAGAGTGATCCTGCGTGTGTTCTCAAAAGCAGCAGCAGTGTTATAGATGGTGTGTCTCCAGGGCTCCCAATTTGAGGCCAGGGTAGACCAATGGTGGTGATCAGTATGGCCAAGGCTGAGGGATTGTTTCAGGCAGTCCTTGTATCTCCTCTTTGGGGCTCCTCTCTTGTGGCAGCCAGTGGCAAGTTCCCCATAGAGCACAATTTTAAGGAGGCGGTGGTCCTGCATCCTGAAGACGTGCCCTGCCCAATGCAGCTGTGTTCTCAGATGGGTCAAAGAGTTTCATAGAACCCACAAATAACCAGGTGGCTTTGGGGCTTCCCTCAGAGGCCACCCATTTCCTCAACAGAAGTTGGAAATACGCTGTCATACTAGTTTTGAAATTTACTTTTGTGTAATATTTTCCTCCTACCTCAAACTGCGTTAGATAATTTATTTCTCTCTCTCATGCAATTTCTATTCAGTGGTTGGCTGTGACACCAAAGGGATG